GAGCCGGGCGGTGTCCCCCTCCCGCCGCCGGGGCGCGGCGACACGGCCCAGCAGCCCGGCCCGCCGGGTCGCCCGGGGGATCAGCCGTAGCTCTGCCTGCCGAGGGGTCGGAGGTCGCCTGGCTCCGAGCAGGGGGAGGGCAGCCGCGGAGGGGCAGATAGGGTTGTTTCAGGGAGAGGCCGCAGGGAAAATAACCCTTTTGAGTCCTTCCAAGCAAAACGTTTTCGTATATTTAATGAGGCCGGGTTTGTTTGTTTTACTGCCTTTTTAGCGAGGGACTTTCCTGCGCTTCTGCTTATAAATAGGCATTAGTGAATTATACGCTTTCATAAAGCTTTCAGTAAATTTGCACCGTAATGTGTGCTTGTTAGACGGCAGCGGTAAGTTTAATACGTTCTCTATTTTATGGGTTGTTTTGGGATGCAAAGTGTTAAAAAAATACAGAGCATCGGGATTTGCTGTGATAAGCATACAGATTAGCTGTCCACAGCTGTGATTCATTACTTTCACCGTACAAATTAAAAGTGGCTGAGGGGAGGGTACTGCAAATGCAAACCACGCTTCTGTGCTGTAAAACTGAAAGGAGTGAAAGAAGTGAACATAATCCATGGCCTGCTACAGCCTCAGAAATGTGTAAGGACAACACCTTGTTACACGCTACAGTTCAGCAGTCTTAAACTAGTTACGAAGTCACTCCCCGGCAGTAAGTGGGGATAGAAGTTGAGATTTAAGGTAACTTTAAAATATCTACGTCAGCTTTAAAACTCTTATCTAAGAAGAGTCCATTTATCAGCTGTGAAATATTTGCACTGCAGATCAAGATCTGGGAGATAATAGCCGCAGCCTTGTTGGCAGAGGAGGTTCACCCAGAGGAAGTCTCTCACCACGGTAAGCGTTGTTTACATTGGAGAGTGCAGGCAGAGGAAATGTTTTAAGATTTGGAAACTTCGCTGTCTTTTTACTAGTAATACGTAAGTGTTTTAAAAGCCTGTATACCTACGTACATGTGTGTATCTATGTACATGCATGTGTACGTACACTTACTTTTATATAGAAATACCATCTAAAAAAATTGCTAATGTGTCCAGACAGCTAAAAATGTGCTGAGATTTACTTTTATATCAACTGAAATTAGGTTTACAAATGAAGGACTTTACTTGGAGACTTGATTTGGAGAGATTAGTCTATAATTTAATCTAGCATTTAATCCACTGCTTACGTCCTCAGATTTGTTGCTGTAATCATATTTTAGTCATATTTGCAAAAATTCTAAAATCCCGTAGGCTTAAACACTGCAATGATCACAGAAATAAGATGGTCTGAGAAGTTAAGTATGGGTAAAAATGTCAAACAAGTATTTTCTTCGCTTTCCCTCACCACTTCAAAACATGCAACAATTCTCTGTGGGGAAAAAAGTACTTTTTTTTGTTCTGCTGCAATTCATCTCTACTACAGAAGCTTGACATAAGAATTCTGCTGGAATTCTATCACCTAATTTTGTTTTAAAATACTTGCTGTTAAAATGTCAATATTGTGGTTTAAATTTACTTCAGTAATATTTTCTGTGTATTTTAAATTAACCTTTGTTTTTAAAGGGCTTTGTTTTCCATACGGGATCCGGTAGGAGTTAGATTTTATAGTGTTCCGTATGTAGTGTTACTGTATTCTTTTACTTGAGGACTAGCCATGAGGATTTTGTCTTGAAAAGGATTTTAGGATAGCTAAAAAATGGTAGTTACACAGATACGTCATTGTAATGATTGTTACAACATGTGTTTATTACAGTAATTCATAATAAATATCTCCAGATTACATAATTTAATGTACAAGCCTGGTGGTGTTGATCTTGTATTATATTCCTTAATTAATCAAAAGACTTCTTGTCGAATAGGGTGAGAATATCCGTTATAATACTTAGGTGTTATACCTAGTCATGAACTGGCTTTTAAGCTTTTCAGTATGTGTGGCTTCTAAAACAATAAATAGAGAATTTACAAATTAGTTTAGACCGTGTGCTCAGTATATATACGTGTATTTACATTAGCATGTAAGTATTTACGTAAGGAGCATGTCTGTATATACAGACAAGTAAGTTAAGAGCATTTTGCAAAGGGAAATGCTCAACAATTAAGAAATGCCAGAACTTTTGCTTATCTATTAAGTAGTCCTCTTGTGTATATGAGTGGTGGTCATTACAGGTTCTAATGCCGTCTTAGTTAATAGGCAAAGGCCTGGCCTTTGTAGGATTTGCAGTAGGCCATAGTTGTGTTCAGGCTGTCTTTAGGTAGAATAATTTGGGAATCTGAACTTCTTAAATATGATGTTTCTATGGACTGTACATTCAGGGTATATACAGTCCAGTCCTTACAACATGGTCAAGTTTCATCTGGGTTTTGATGGGGGTGGCAAAGGAGAACTGTCTGATAGAAAGGCCACCTCAGTCCACAGTCGCAGAGCTTCCTTCGGTGTGCGGAAGCTGGAGCACCTCACAAAGAGTAGATAGCTTCTGCTTGGCAGTAGAGTTGTTCAAAAACAAGCCAAAAAGGGGGTGGGAGGGAGGTGGGAAAAACTGCTGTAGTTCCAGGATTGAAAGATGGAAAAACTTAGTCTGAAATACCTAGCATGGAAAAAACTTGGAAAACATCTCCATTCAATGAAGTTCAGTAGTCAGCAAATTTCACCCCTGGTTTGTGCAATTAGAAAGATCCCATGTATGTCAGCGTTTTTAAGATGGTAGGTAACTCCCCACCTTCCCCAGTTAAATAAGTAACTCCGACTACTTAAGATACGGTTTATAGTGAATAAAAAGCTGACTTCAGAAATCTGAAAACTTTGCAACTCAATGTTACCTGCTTTATCTATGAAAATTATTTTTCTGCAAGTTCTGACTCTGTTCCCTTTGAAGCTTATGAGATACATAACACATCTCTCCAAGAGCACCATGTAATTTTCAAATAGTTGCTTAAAATAAAAACACTTGCAGAAAAAAATTGTTTGCTGTTAAATGACTCAGCTGGTTGCTGCTCTTTGGAGAAAGGCATGTGGCTCATGAACTGTATGGTCATTTCAAACTCATATTGTTATATCTTTGTACCCACATATAACTACAGTGTTTGAGGTTTAAGCTGTCATGTTTAAAATTTTACTATCTATGAGAAATGTAAATATACCTGGTATATGTGAGCTGTTTCCATTTTGCAAAGGAACTGCTGCTTTTCCCAAGGTAGCACTTAACATTTTTACCCTGTACTGAACCTTAGGTTTAAAAATGTTATGCAATACCTGCATTGAAATAGGAATGTATGTATTGCTTACAATTGACACTACAAGAGTATGAACAACTGTACCCCAAACTTAAACAAAAAACAGTTGTGAAAAGAAGCAAGGTATGAAACATGAAGCAAGGGATCCCCATCTCGGTGACAGTGGCAGACCTGGGCACGCAGCACATTTATAGTCCTGTTGGAAGCTACGATCGATTACTGTTTGGCATAAGGATTCAACCCTAGTATGCAGGAACCGCATCATGTTAAATGGATGAGGTAGAAGTTCAGCTGGAAGGGGATTGATTGACTAATGTTGTGATACATGGAAATCTAAGGGTGTTTTTTTCTCCTTCTGTAGAGGGTTCCAGTGAAGGATTGCAGAGGTTATACAGTCATGTGATGCTTTGATTCTACCTTTGTGAAACTGATAGGAAACAGTCCTAAGCCCAACAAGCATTTTGTTGGTGATTTATAATTCAAATAGTGCAATCTGTTAGAGTAGCATTTTGCGCCCTTCAGAAGCATACATACAGAGAAAGAAATTGCTGGGGGGTTGTGTGGTGGTTTTCTGTATTTGTTTTCTCGGTTTGGTTTTTAAAGTGTGTTGTTTGTGTGGAGTGTAGTACATCTGTTCAGAATGTTTCCGCATAAACCTTCCTCCCTATCACTTCAGCACGTTGTGTAAACAACTAGTTTTAAGGCTGGTATTGCCATGGCTGTGCTGAACTGTTAAATGCTGTTGAGTTGTCATCTCTTGTCAAAAACCACTACCTTGGTTACCCGTTCATCAGGGCTTTTTGTTTTAACAAGTGTTTCTCTTCTTTAATCCTGTATGCAAAAGAGGAATTATTTATAAATACTTCCAGAGCTCTTAAGTCACCTACTTAAGACCTTTTCTCGTAAAAATCACTTTGCTCCGGTGCCTACAAAATGCTTGACAGTCATTAGGTAACTAATGTGCTGTGACCACTGCTTATTACGCTAATCATAATTAACACACTGATTTCCTGGGCTCTGTATGTTGTCCTGTACTGGGGCTGTGGTGGTCCTCTTGGTAAGTTTGCACTGCATGTACAGCAGTACGGCTGCGATCCTGTGAGGGCACCAGCGATAACGTACAAGCAGCTGAATCTGAGCTCACTGGAGTTGATTTTAGAAGACCGACCAACCAACAACAAACCAAACAAAACCACCAACCAACTTGTAGTGGGCTTTGGTGTTGGTCCTGTATGGGAAGTGGGACCCACGCATATGTGAGGCCAGAATCCCGAGTCAGAAATAAACTGAGCGTCTGATTTTGCTCACAGGTTAAATTTTTCCTTACTCAGTGCAAAGGAAGCTGCCTCACCAGCCCTGAGGGATACCCAGCTTTCTCAGTGGCTGCGTGCTGAATATTTAATTTTCTCACGAATGAGAGAAGACATGTGGCAAAGACATTATTCTTTGAACTATGTGTGGTCGTGAGTAAAAAAGGAAGCGTATTAAGTGTGCACAGGGCAGACAGAGGATAACTTCAACTTTTATTGTGTCCCTTGTGAAATAATATTTTCACGTAGTCGCTGAAAAATCTGGTTTTGCATGGTTCTTTTTAGAACAAGTTAGGCAGTGGAAATATATATGGCCATTCTACATGGAAGTACCATCACTATGCTGATTTTAATAATCATCACCACCACACCACATACACCCCCCCCCCTCGTTTTCTTTGGGAAAGGTTTGAAAAAAAATTTTGTAAAGTCATGTACACTTAAGTTTCCTGCTGTAGAAGTGTGTGTTGTATAATCTGATAGAGTGCTGTTTGTCAGTTAGGTATTATGTTAGTTGTGTGCTTTCCTAGTATAAATTCTCATGCTGTGAAATAGTACTAAAGCCTTGACAGTGAGAACCAGGAGTTCTTAGTCGTTTTGATGAATTGACTTAGTCTTGGAAGTGTAAGATAGACGTAGGTGCTAGGGACTGATACAAGGTAAGAAACTTCAACAGCCTGTTCACTAATACATTTCCTTCCATCCTTTTCTTTAAACAATAAATTGCAATATTTTCAACAGATCCCCTGTAAGCAGCTTGCAGATTCGCTATGATCAATCAGGCAACAGTTGTGGGGAAAATTTGCCCCCAGTAGCAGCCAGCATAGAACAGCTTCTGGAGAGGCAATGGAGTGAAGGACAACAGTTTTTATTAGAGCAAGGCACCCCTAGTGACAGTAAGTACTCACGTTCTCTTTATTACTTGCTTTTGTTAACTGTGTTATTCAGAACTGCCATTTGCCGCTTGTCCAAGAGTTTTAAAAAACCATATTTTCTGCTGTGACTGGCAATATAACTGTAGTGTATCATTGTAACATAGTTCTTAATGCAGCACCAGGCTTCAGTAGATTACAAAAGAGTTCTCTGTATCGGCTGTGTTTTTATGGATGGAGAAATGGTGTCATGCAAGAGGAAGTGACTTGCAGATCCAGTGAGTTGGTTGCAGAGTTCGGAAATGAATTCTGGACTCTTAGATCCACTACTGTAAATCGCATAGCACAATTCCCCACAGTTGCTTTATATTGTGTGATACAAATTGGCACAATACTTTTTATCGTTACGTTTTTAAGTTTTTAAACCTAAACTGCCTACTTCTGTTGCTATTTAAAAAAAAAAAAATTTCAAATGTTAGGCAGGTCCTACTGGTCTTTCTTATCTTTATTATGTTCTGCGTTTGTGGTGACATTCTCAAAGCAAGCAAATTGTTGTTTTCTCAAGTTATGTTTAATAGAGTGGAATAGTCCAAGAATGAGTATGTTAAAAGCGTGAGTGATGAGTAGATCACTTGGACCTCCACATTCAACAGTGTATCGGTATCAAAGACAATGATTGAATAAATTTTTAAAAAAATTGTTTAATACAAGGTTAGGGTTTGTGTTATATTTTATTAAACATATTATTCTTCTCGTTGGTAGTGTAAAGTGGTATCTAGTTGGTATTTTTATGAATGGTATCCTGACAAAAATGCTAATTGTGAGGAAATTCATGCAGGGATAATCCTTTAAACATGATAGCTGGAGGACAGGTTTAGCTAAGTCTTATTGCATCTCATTTGGGCTCACTGAGGGTTCCTTTGTATGTTCTTGAAGAGGAGGGATAAAAGCTAAATCCTTGGGAAATGACCAGATGTGCCTATACCAGTAGACTTATGTCTGTAGTAGGCCCAGAGGTCATGTTAAACAAATACAATTTAGAATTTGGGGTGGGGGGGTGGGGTGTAAAAGGCTATCCCAGTGGCTTTACAGTCACACTCTAGTGCTAGCTGGGAAATCCAAGTTCTGAAACCAAATTGGAGTTTGAGAAAACTGTGCTTGGTAAAAATCGGGTTAGTACAGAAGGTGATGCCCTTTTCTGCAAAAAAAGGGGTGGTGACTGCAGTGCTCACACAGTGCTCCCTGCTGGGGGATCTGCAGATCGCCGCTCCAGGCAAGGGAGAGTTGCGGCTCCCGGCGAGGTGCGGAGCGGTGCTCGGATGGCTTTTTCATTGGTTCTGCAAGTTCATTGATTGTACGAGACATCAAAACAGAAACCCGCCCTTTTCACAAACGTGCTTGTTTTTACGTAAATGGTGTTGGGTGGTTGTATTGTTAGTGGAATTTGTATTTGTTAAGCTTTCTCTGTCTCGATAATGTTAAAAATGCAGCTGAAATAGATCATCACACCCCCCCACCCCCCTGTGATTAACCTGTGCTACTAAAATCATACTATTTTTGTATTCTGGTTTGGGGATAAGTTAATCGTGTTCTGCTCTTGGCTTAAAATGAATGTCAGCCCTAATGATGTGACTTCATCTGTGTTTAAGCTGGGGTGTAGAGATATTGCAAAATTACTATCACATGCTACGTACTTTTTTGTGCACTTTAAATTACATGAAATTGATCCTAAGCTTTCCACTTAGTCAAGTTTCTGTGATGTATCCCTCAGCAATAATTTATATTTTCACACATGACTTCATGTTAGTCTTAAATGGTGATACAGAAATAATAAAAAACCAAAATGAAATTATTCATTCTTTGAATGTGGTTGTGAAAGATAACATGCATTTTTACCTTAGTTTTAGGAATGCTTAAATCATTACACCAACTTCAGGTTGAAAACAGGCGTTTGGAAGAACAGATAAAGAATCTGACTGCTAAGAAGGAGCGGCTTCAGCTACTCAATGCACAGCTTTCGGTGCCCTTTCCAACAATAACTTCAAATCCTAGCCCTTCTCATCAAGCACATGCCTTTCCAGTACAAGCAGGTACGTAGAGGAGAGTATTAAAGGGTCGAAGTAATTTGACCATGTATTTATATGAAATACCTATTTCATCCACATGTGCCGTTGGTGGGAGATGCATGTACACATAGGATGAATATAGACTAAAATATTCGTTGGTGTGTTTAAATGTTTAAAAGTCCATTGGAAGGTTATACGAACCGTTAGTACAGGTTTCAGTGCGGTTTCTTTTTTACCTCACTCTGGAGCACATCTGCTTGAATCTATTGATTCACTAATTATTTAGTTAATATTTACTATACAGCAGTGATTTTAAGGTTGACTTTACATTTTCTATATTTACCTTTAACATTATTTTGGAGTAATTATTCTGAATCTTTTTACATGTTACAGAAATTTAACCAGTGTGTGTTTTTTGAAATAATTACTTTAGCACCTAGCAGTGATTCCTTGAACAGCAGTAAAAGTCCTCATCTGGGAAACAGTTTTTTACCGGACAATTCTCTTCCTGTGTTAAATCAGGTAATTTTTATTTGTTTCTACTAAACTTAAACTTGTTACAAGTTAACTCATCATAGTCCTTGCACTGATTGTGCTATGAGGTGAAATTTTATGCAGCTGAGGGGGTTTTGTTGTTTGTTTTTACACCAGGAGATAACCTCCAGCGGACAAAGCACCAGCAGTTCATCAGCTCTTTCCACTCCACCACCTGCTGGGCAGAGTCCAGCTCAGCAAGGCTCAGGAGTCACAGGAGTTCAACAGGTCAATGGTGTGACAGTGGGGGCACTGGCTAGTGGTATGCAGACTGTAACCTCCACCATTCCTGCAGTGCCTGGTGTGGGTGGAATAATTGGAGCGCTGCCAGCCGGCCAGCTGGCAATCAATGGAATTGTAGGGGCTTTAAATGGGGTAATTCAGACCCCAGCAACAATGTCACAGAACCCTTCTCCTCTCACGCATGCAACCGTGCCACCCAATGCAACGCATCCTCTGCCAACCACGTTAAATAACAGGTAAGAATTTGCCGATTTTATGATTTTCCCGACAGTGCCTGCTGTTCTTCAGTTTCGCTATGCTTTGAGCTGGCTTACTCAGAAGGTACTATTTCTTCTGAAGCCAGTAACTGTCAAACTGGGTTCTGCTCCTGATCTGTGAATGAAAGTAAGAAGGCATTTAATGGAAGCACAAATCGTCAGAAAAGATGTTTTTCTGTTTAGCTTTTGGGAATCCTAGTGTCCGTTTATTCCTGTTTTTTAATCAAGTCACATTCCCAAACAAATGTAATTATGTAAATGTGCTTCAGCTCTTTTTTTAGTTCAGGAAACAATATTCTTTGTCATGCCGATTGTTCTTTCAGGATTAAAGGAGCACTGGAAAAGCTCCGTTTGTAGCAGTAAGGAGGGGGAGGGGGAGAACAGTATACGGTCGTGTCATTAAAGCCGTACTAGGCATGACTGACCCGAGTGGTGATCCAGTGGCACGGTGTTTCCGGTTCTCCACATCTGACTCCAGAGACAACAAAAGCAGTTTCTCAAGCCGTGTTCCTAAGGACATTTAAATGCATAAACACACCCCGGCTTGAGTATTCGTAACAGCCCTTCCCCAAAGCCAGGTATCCTCAGCGGCATAAACTGCTGCTGCTTGAGCTGCAAGGCAAATGGGTAACAAAAGGAGACAGCTGCTTTCCAGGAGGGGGAGTGGGCTGCTCGGTCTGGGAGTATTTTGGGAGAGAGCAGAGCCTGGGCTGACTCATCCCCCCTGCTCCCCTTCCCCCCACCCCTTGTATTGTCCTTTGCTGAGCAAGGAGAACTGCGGTTCTGTGTAGAAAGAAATGCCTGCAAATAGGGAGTGGATTACTTGTCTTTAAGTAGAGTTTATTTTTGGAGATTATGGTGGATTACCCACCAAAAAAGGGCGTATGTGATTGGAATGATGCAAGGGATCCCTAGTTTTGTAGGTTCTTTTTCCAGTTTCTTTCCTTGCTGTTTGTTTGGCAGCTCCTGAATATTCGTGTACCATATAGTTGTGTGGTATCGCTTCAATAGGCTCATAAAGCCTGATACTTTCAAGTGTATCCCCTTGTTTTGATGTGCTATTATATTTTTATTGAGGAGCTTATATTTTTCATCGTTTATGTCATATATGAACGTAATATTTCATAGGTTAAGCAAAAGACATTCCATTACTGAAAAGTCACCTTCTTTCTTGAGTATCAGAGGTCTGCTGAAACACAGAATTTTGTGTTACTCTCCCCAAAAGTGTAAGGAGGAGTGAGAAATACTAGACAAAATCAATAGTATTAACCAGTTGTAGAATACTTTCCATTTTCAGGTAATGCCAGAATACCCTGGTGATACTGCTGTTTTCTCATATGGTTTTGTAATACACAGATTATTTATTTCTGACTCTTTATATTGCAGAAGTTCTTCTGTCTCTTTTTGGTTGTGGGTTTTTTTCTTTTTTTTTTTTAATATCCATCTTAAGTGCTTAACTCTTGCGTGCGTAGTCTAGTAGTAGACTACTCCCTTCACGGGGAATACTGCAACTGGTGTCCTGTTCATAAGGTCTCATTCTGACGTTCAGCATAGTCTGGAATGCTGCAATGGTTCCCTCATTTCTGCTACAACAAGCTTATGATGTATGGCTCTGCCAGCATTTCCATTTCTCTGTCCTTGCATGATCTCTCTGCACTGCTCCCTCAATAAGACTAATTTAAAATTAATGTTAATATTAAGTTTAAAATGCACTTTTCGCACAATTATCTGCTTTGTTGAGCTCATCCAAATGATTTGCTGGGCCCCCTTCCTTTTGAGGTTTTTCACAAGTGCCCCTATTTTCTGCAAGTTTTCAGTATTTCTAGTTGTATATTTAGCGGAAAAAAGTTCAGGCTGAGCAAGCACTAATGCTGCTTAGTGATGGTATGATTTTAGTAATGACAAGTACATTCCTCAGTCCTGTTTCTTCCATTACAAATGCTTTGGTGAAAAATACAAAAAAAATATTTCTGTTACTGCAGCTAAGTTGTGAAGAGGCTCTGGGATGACTTTGAATGAAGGAAAAAAAAAAACCCAAACCCACAGTATTTTCCACTGATTGAGATTATTGGTTCCGAAACTATATGGGACGTTATTTGTTCCTGCCGCTTGGAGTTCAGTGCTGTCTCAGTGGCAACTAGTTGACTGTTGAGTTAATGTTAAATTCCTCTGGGTATCACTGAGCTTCGAGCTGCGTAAGTGGGGAGGCTCAGTGTAACGAGCCCAGGCAGGCAGGGAGGTTTGCTACCACGCTGTTCCGAGCTCTGAACCTGCTTAGATCGCGTGGTGGTGATCAAGTTTGGAGATGGTTTAAATCAATGTTGGCAAGACGCTGGAAAGTGGCATGAGAACTTAGCCCCACTTTCTAACTTTTGTGTGTGGTTCAGTAATTAAAAGGCTTCCCTGATGTTCCTGTAAGTTGCTACTTATCATAACTTCCCAAGCTTCAGAACCCGTCTGGACAGTTTCATGTGAAAAATAGCTAGATTATTCGCCAATACATGAAGACTTCTTTATGCATGTTGTCCTTATTCATGTGAGCTCTTTAACTGTGGATAGACATGGAGGGGTGAGAAAACAACAGATTTGCACACTGCTGTGTGAGAGAGTTTCAAATTCTAGGTAAAAAAGCCTACATTCATTTGGCAGAGAAAAATACTCGATCCTTTTCTGGGAAAAAGATGGCTTAATACAGATTGCTAGCAGCTTGGGGATACGTGATTTGAGGAAGAAGATAGGATTGTTTCTTTACCTTCTTGCCACCAGAGAAGACCGTAGGATGGAGAGTTTCAGACTGATCGTGTACCTTTTAATGAGAAGTTAGAAAGCATTAAATTTACATTCCAAGCTGATCTGGTTCAGAGAAAGCTCTGTGGTGAAATCCAGTGAACCGCCTCTTTGGGGAGGCTTGGGAGCTGCAGTGTTTTGTCTTCTGCAGTTAGGTTTTGTTTCTGCACACTTGGATCTCAGCTGCTGGCTGAGGGTATTTTCTTTCAAGTGCCAGTCCAGAGCAAGAGGGAAAGCAGAGCGGATAAAGAGAACAACAGCAGGAAAAAGAAGTGCAAAGGTAAAACATGATATAGGAAAAAAGAAAGAATGAAAAACCAGTGGAGAAGATTCATTCCAGTATAGAAGAATACAGAAAAAGTGAGGTCAAAAAAGAAGGAAATAATGGTAATATTAGTCAAACGGAAGGTACTTATTTTTTTGCAGTTGTTACAAATATTTTTTATACAATTGAATTTAAAGCTGTTTGAAAGGATTTCAGTTAATCTGTGAGTGTCATCATTTGAAAGTCAAACACATGCATAGATCTTGCTGATGTTGGGCCTGAGTTTGCTGTTGTAGCTCAGGAGGAAAAATCTAGGTGTTCCCTTGGATAGATGAAGTGTCATCTCTGCTTTCATCAACAATCAAACAAACATTGCTGGCAGTTATTGGGGAATAAATAGAGTGGTGTTATCCATTTTGTGTTCTGTCGTGTTAAGTCCCTGGTGTGTGCATACCTGGAATATTATGTGCAGTTCTGATTATGTAGGTTTATATAATACAAGGGAAAAAACGGTACAGCAAGAATAATCGGAGGCAAAATGGCTTGCACAGGACAAAGTCAGTAGAATTGACTTGGCTAGGGAAAAAGACCATTGACGAGAGGTTTGAGAACCATGAGAGTGATAGAAGTGATAGTAACAAATGTTGTGAAGTAAGTAGATGATGGGGAATCATAGAACCATTTAGGTTGGAAAAGAC